TAATTGTACACGACTTTTTTTTTTTTATTTATATACTTTGTAACCAGTTTTAGCACTTTTTTAGTATTTACCAGTATGTATAACAAATCATTTTATGATTAAAAAATATCCGAGTATAACTTTTTTAAATATACGACTACAAAACTTTGTACCTGTGCGATTCTAGATATCAACGAGTAAACGTGTAAAATGCACTCAAATTTAAATGTTATTATAATAATATTCTACTCAGTTAAACTAAAAATTATGTGTATAGTTGAATGATGTTTATCATCTTAAGTATATTATAAACTAAAATTATTAGAAGTATTTGTATGTATTAATCTATAGCAAATATGTTGGAATTAAATTATTTAAAATTTGTTATTGCATTAAATAACGATTCTGAGTAATACTATACATATGTATGTATCTTATCCAATCTAATTGTATCTCGTTATAAATTAATTTTAATAACTAATTTTAATAAATAATTAATCTAATTATAAGAGTGAATAATTATTTTTTTAAATACAAAATTCAGTAAGCACTATGAAAACAACTTTGAAAACCGAATCCATAACATTTTATTAATACATATTATATTATATTGAATTTAAATTTGATATATTATAGATAAAAGGATCCAAAATAAAATAAATCTGCCCATAAACGATTTCAAATATTTAATCAAATTTTAATGATCTGGTTCAGTTATACGTATGATTCTGTATAATAAATAAATTAGTATTTCTTATAATGTTACTAGTAAATTAATATTATGATAGAAATATGCGGTTTCGATAAATGCCGATCGTATAATATCAGAATATCAAAGCCTCAATGATTCGATTTGACACTGACACCATCGTAATGATAAATTTTACAAATACGAGTCATTATTTACGTAATTAAGTTTTAGATATCTTTAATTTTTTAAAAATATACTATTTCACCATTTACTTGATAGTTAGCCTTATAGATTACTAAGTATCTATATTTACAAATAAGGGTCTATTTTTTTATTTTCCATGGATAAAATGTCATCATCCTCTGATTTTGGTACACCATAATGTATTTATAATTATTATCCAGATTTAATCGCATATCAATTAAATTAATTTGACATTAAGAATTAATTTCAGTGTGCAATATTGTCGGTCCCTTATAAATCGGTTAGTATTCATATAATAAGTCATTTTTTTTTTTTTGGCATGCTTTACACATTTTAAAGTATACATTTTCAGCTTACACTTAACATTTTTGTATTTTTTTTTTTGCAACATACAATTTATTCGATTCCTACTACTTTGCCTTGTTACAATATGAGCTTTGTGTATAGTATCAAAAAGTTCGTCATTACATTAACATTACATAACATTAAGTATTTTCAGATACACTTTCTATTGTACCAGGAGTGTACTGAAACACTGAAGGCTCAAGTGGATACAAGTTTTATAAAATAGCAAACAAGTGAGTCATGTTAAAAAAAACAAATTTAGCTTAAGGCCCGAGCATAACATTTCTGGAGGACCTGGGTTGGTATGGATACCTATCCACTCTGCAAGTCCATCCTTGTACTGTATAAATAAGTTTGTCTTCATTTTTGATCTAAAGAGCATCAAATCATTTTGATCTCTGATAATGAATTGATTTGTTGTCAATGATTATTTTTGTTTTCTTCGTCTATCATAAATAGGTATTGTAAATTTCACAATAAAAATATAAATAGAATCCTAATTTTTAATTATTGAACTTAAAATGTCTTAATACTACATTTAAATCATATTAAAAAGAATAAAATCAATAAATTAAAATATTGCGTTTATCATTATCACAATACAATATAATACACATTATGCGCACTCGGCACAATATATACACAGTAATACAAATGGATCCATTTACACGTGAAATCTAAACAAACGTACCTACATAATAAAACCATACTTGAGTGATAAAACAGCTTATCGATCATAATTTAATTTTCATTTATGGTGTATAAACTAGCATTTATGAATGAGCCAAATATATTGAATAGTTGACTATGCACATAAAAATTTAACGAAAAAGAAAAATATATTATTTTATATATACATAAATAAAAGCACAATAAAACTTATTTGACTAAAGTTTATCAAAGAATAAAACATAATAATGTATACCAAATATACTATTCTCTAAAGAGTCTAAGATAGTTGCGACATGACATTAATATTTTATAATTTTATTTACTATTCATTTTTTATTTTGTCCATTAATATTAGTAGTCACGCCCGTGTGTTTGACATACCTGATGTACACAATATTTTTAGTAAAAGCTCAAATAAAATAATGATTTTTTAGATTTTACTTAGTACATACAGTAAATCTAATCATTGACTTGTAAAACTTAGCTTTACCTAGTGTTCAGAATTTGTATGGTAACATAAATATGCCATAGTAAAGTACTATAAGAAAAATAATACTGTGGCTAATGGTGTTTAGAATTTTTTTAATAATAATTTAAACGCTGTATATAGTTATGTAAATACGTTTCTGTATAAAAAATTGAATTTTATAAATTTAAACAGTTTAAACTGTTAAATGTATTAGAAATAAATGTTAAATAAAAATGTATTAAATAAATAAAATATTTCTACTTTTACAAATATCTAAGCGGAAAAACGACCATGGGTAAAATATATCTGTGTAAAACAATAACTAATTTATTACATTTTGCAATTTATAACAATTTTTTCAACAATACCAACGAATGTACTATAGCTCGTAGGTTTCCCTAGAACGTATGAAATATAGCCATCTTTTACATCTAAAAAATTAATCGATAAGGCGAAAAAAATGTTTCAAAAAATATATAAAAACAAATTTAAAAAAAATAATTCCTAACCCACGAATCGTAAATTTTCATCGATTAAAATGTCATGAATATATTGAAGTAGGTATTATTAGTAATTTCATATAGAAAATAATATTCATGTACCATACATCATTATAAAAATCGTCATTTATAAAATGGTACTAGAAACGACGAATTTAAGTCATTGCCCATACATTAACGCGGATTTAAGACAATAATAATAATAGTTCGTACATAAGACAAGTCGTACCGAAAATCAAAAAATCATGTGTACAAACCAGATCAGCTTTTGAAGGTGGTTACTTGTTCGGAGACGGTTTTAAATATAATTTTTTTCTAGTTAACTGATTCGTAATAATTCGGTGGTGGCGGCAGCACATCGATTCGTTGGTGACCACTGTGCGAGAAGGGGGAGAAGAAAGATAAATAAATTTAAAAAAATAAGAAACACTAAAAAAATATATATTCTTGATACTGGCCGGAAAGTCTTATAGGTAGTACGTAATATAATACGTAGCTATCGTAATATAATCGTATTACAGAGTACAGGATAATTTTTATAACAAGCGACATCAATTAATTTAAAGGTTCTTAAAAATATTATAATAGTTATAGTTCGCTTCAATAAAAGTTGTTTTTCTCTCTAAATAATTCAAATTAGTTTCTATTTACAGAGTTTGTGAAAAAAAATGTTATTAAATGTAATTATTGTTATTTCTATGATCTTGTAGTAAAATTATTTTTAACTATTACACTTTATAAATATTCTTAAAAAGTAACATATACTTATAATATTATACGAGTATACGTTTAATTTTCGATCTTAAAATAATATTTTTGTAAAACGTCGATACATTTGATACATTGATACGTTTTTGTCTTTTTTTCTTTCAATTTATAAAAATAAACAAATACAAACTGTTTTAAGTTTTAATTTTTTTTTTAATTATTAAGTACCAGTGCTGTATTGTGTGTATACTGCGTAAAAAAATGTATTGGTTCTTATAATCGATACTAGCTTATTTATTTTTTAACCGTTCTGAAAAAAAAATTCTATACCCACCATCTTATAGTTGGTAATAAATAGGTCTGTTGAGTTCTAAGTAGAGTTGAACATTTGTAGCTAACTCGTCTCCTTTCTTATTTATTGTAACACATAGTAATATTTCTTAATAATACATTTGAAGCATATGTCACAGTACTGAATTTAGAATTCAAATTTAGTATAATAAAAAAATAAAAAATGTACATTATAAATTTAAAATATCGGTATTCATATATTTTTATTAATTTGTTGGTGGTTTTTTTTTTTTTTTAAATGGTTTTAAATTTTAGTGCAAATTTAGATAAGCGAATTTAGTGGACTACTACTAGTGGAGCGGCTGGAGCGATCCACTGCAAAATATTGAAACGCAACTTCGACTGCGTATCTCGTAAGTGCAGCTGCCAGACACTTGTAGAATAACAACTACCTAATTACATAACGCATGACGTTCGAATTCTTAATCTTGACCTGTACGTTGGTAGGGTTTAGCTGTTTTTAACACAGAAATATGATGCATTCAAAAAGAATTCGAAACATTGGTGGAAAACGGTGAAACGCTTGACGACAGTTACGCGCGAAAACGTTGCGAATTCGAAAACCTACGAGGCGCCAAAGGTAACACACTTGCGTCGCACCGTCCGGCCCGTAAACCCTCGGGACGATGGAATAACAATATCGTTATTCGTGTCGGCCGCCGCGTGTTCATCTTTGTTTCACCGGACGACGCGCTTTGTTGTGGGGCGCGGGGAGCGGAACATGGCCTCGGTAAAGCGAGAGACACAGCGACTGACACGCTCCGTTACGATCCCGCCAAACCGGCTACGAGCGGAGAACAGTGTGCGTGTACAACGTGTAAGCGTAGACGCGTGCGTTTGGTGCACGAGCGTGCGCGTGCGTGCGTCCCGGCCGCCGGACGGTGTACGCGTCGTAGGCGAGCCAAGTACAAGTGCGCACAGAAATTCCGCCGTCGCGTCGGCGTACACAACGCCGGCACGCAACCCCGTACTTGCAGCAAGCGAGCATACCATCACGCACACGCGCATGCGCGCGCCCCATCACGTATCCACACCGGTTCCACGCAATCACGCGCGTTCGGTCTTCACGGATTTTTACGTCGTGTGACTCTAGCTAGTCGTTGCACGCTCGCCGTCGCTCGACGACGTACACGCGCGTACGCGTCCCTTCACGGCGCCATGGTCTGACCGCGTGTGTTCCGCTCCACCACCACCCGATCACGTTTTTCGCGTTCGCAGCAAGCACGACCGTTACGCGAGTGTTCGCGACATGGTGTTCTTCGGCAAAAAGAAATCGGACCGCCGCGAACTGTTGGCCAGCATGTCCAGCGTGGACCACATATCGTCCGCGCACTACAAGGTCCACGACAACGGTATGAGACGGCGATTTATTTGCACTTTCTGTTTTTTTTTTTTTTTTTCACGCGCGTCTGGTTTTCGGACGACTGGTTAGGTCCGTCGGTTTTTAACGCATAACGAAAATATCGTCTACGTAGCTCGGGAACATTGTCCTGCGAATCGGATGCTTTTCAATTTGGATCTTTAACCCTTTACGACTGATTAACTTCGAAATCTTTTGTCGGTTGGTAATCGCGTTAAGTTCAAAATTAATTTAATTTTAAAATCTTACAGTTTTAGTTATTGGTACCAAAGCTTTTAAAAAATACTATAACATCGTACATAAAGGCCCTTCGTCCGAATTTTTTTTCAATATAACAATTATCGTACGTTTCACTTCGAAAAAATACAAATCAATAATAATTGATTAAACAATAATTAACGATAAAATAATGATCATTATCCATTACCTCAAATACGTTAAATCCATAAACTATCTTCATTTATTCTGTAATAATGTCATGTACATGTTCGTCAGCGTTAGACATTAGTTTATTACTTAGTACTTGGTACTTAGATAAAATCATAATTCATTATGATAATCCATAGTGTGTTTAATAGGAGTTACTGGAGGTTTATAATTATAGTTTTATTATAAATACTCATTATTAATCATTTATATACAGTATTTATTTATCTTTATACGTAAAAAACTGTATTCAGCGCCGGGCTCCATAGTTATCCTAAGGTGGGTCACTCACCTACAAAATCAACTATGACTGTGTCAAAAGCAAATTAGGTATTCGATGCCACTGATTTTAGTGTACTTTACTTGACACTCATGTATTTATTGTCATCTTCATTGTTATTGATAATATCACACAACTACAATTATAATTACTAATGTTTATAAATTAAAAATTTTAATAATCGGAAAAATGTTTTATATAGGATCTTCTACGAGTTTTTTTCTGAAGTCTCAAATTATAAACTCGATTATGACTTTAGGTATCAAGCGCATAGTTTTTTTGGTGAATTTTTTTTATAATTTATTGCTCTTCAACCAAGAGGTTGGTCGGGAAAAAATATTCAAAGGTGTATCAGTTAGAAATAGGTAAGTGCTTAAAGCATAAAAATGTTTTACAAACGAATTATTTTTACAGATTATTCTTTTCGTTTTTACATAATATTCTAGAAGAATTAAATTCTAGAATCAACAAAAATGACAAATATTCTGTTCTATAAAATTACAAATAGTAATTGGAGTATTGGAAATACGTATGTTTCGGATTTAGAAATAGTTTGTAATGGATATCTCATAGCAATTTAATGGTAGAATCCAATTAAAAATTAAATTTTTTTTCTTTTTATCAAATTCTGAGGCAATTAACATTTTGAGGTGTTACAATTTTTTTCACTTAAATGTGAAGTACTTAAGTTTTTTTAACGTCTAAAATTGTATTTAAACGATTAATAAATATATTTTCCACTTTAAAAAAAACACGCACAAATATTACACAATTATAATACAGCATTAAACGGCATACGTAACGGCAATATGTATACTGTGGGCTGTGATAAATATGGCTGCATATAGTCTCAAGATAATAATAATTGCGATATGAATTGTTCGTTATTGATGGACTGTATTTGAAAATGCCTACAAATGTTTGATTATCTTCTAATGACACTACTGATAACAATTATTATTATTGTAACCCATTGGAAGTAGTGCCTAGAAGAGATTTTGAAATAAAACACTCTTAAATACCTCTAATATTAACATTGCCCTCACCAGTTATAGCATTGTATGAAATGACTAGTCTACTCGTATATGGGAATTAAATATGTATTGTTTACTTTGCCCAAATATCTTAGACATTGTATACAGTGTCCTGTCATTGTATTACAATGACTGATTTGTCCATCTAGAGTCTAGGTCCTAGACCAGGGGTGGCAAATAAGTGGCACGCATGAGATTTTCGATGGCACTCGAAAAACTTATTTGTCAATATATATTTATAGATTTTTAAGTAACATACAATAATGAATTGAATTATCAATTGCACATATTAATATTATATAAATCATAACCACGTATTGATATCTTATATTTATTATTATAAAATATAATTTATATGTTGTAATATAGTTTAACTAGTTTACTAGAAGTGCGAGTTCACTTCAACTAGAAGTTGTATTCTAACAAACAACAATAATAATTATAATTTTTTTTAAATTATTTATATTTTTCATTTGTATTTTTCTATGTTAATAAAAATAATTTTGGCATGGCTAATTTTTTTTTTTTTAATTTTGTTATAAATTGTCACGTTGAAAAAATTCTATTTGCCATCCCTGTCCTAGAACGTAACATATATATATATATATATATATATAGATTATATAGATAATATTATACTTCTAGTATGTTCCATTTTCAGTTATTTTTATATGATAAAACAATTTTTTTTCTTATTGTCACCCTTACATAGAAAACAGTAAAACTATTTAAGTAATACAAATATCTAATAGTGTATCTATTAAGTTATTAGATAGGTAGTATAAAATTATATATATAATTTTTAAACCCTAGCTTGGTTTATAAGGGGCTAGTTTTATAAGTTGGGTACTTTTTGAAAGTGGTAAGTTGAGTTGGGAAAAAAGTTAGTAGGCAAGTTGGATCCTGGTTAAGAATTAGATTTATTTTCAACGATAAAATGTCAATGCAATTTTTGAATACGCATAATTAAGATACGTATATTATACGGGCATGAACATAGGTACTCGTATATAATATTATGTTTGGCATATAATTGTGTGTCAGTTATCACCGAATTTTATGATGTTTTTTTTATGGATATTTTACAAATATAACCCTAACCTATAGGTATACTAGATACTTATATATTAGCTAAAGATAAATTTCTCCCAAATATTAGGTCTCAATTTTCTGATACTATGATGCGTACAACCAATAGCTGTAAATCATATCATTCACGATTAAACCATCGATTTTATAGTTCACATCCTAATATTTTGAACTATGTGGACGATTGATTAGAAATAAAATTAGAGACACTAATAAAATTACAAAGCACAAACCAAAAAAAGAAAACTAAGCTCGATAAAGATCATAACCTAAGGGAGCAAATGACAAAATACACTAATAATAAGATAACCCGATTTGAGTTTGTTCAGTCCATATCATTTAAGTTTTTGCTAAGTGCATAATTTATAATTTATTTTTTATTATTTTTTAAATTAATTTTAATATTTATATTTTATATTTTACAACATGCATATTTTTAATTATATTTTTATGTATAGTATTAATAAAATTAATTTGTTTTTATTGAGATCTAATTTACCTATAACCTTTTTTTCCCTGGACTCAACTTAACTACTATCTAATTTTTTGCGGGACCCGATTTACCAATAAAAGGTCATTTAGGACCCAATTTACCAGGGCTTGAAATCGATTTAAAAACCGATTTCAAATTTGGATAAAAATCGTTAAAAATATTTTAGAAAATCAAAATCAATATCAAAATCGTTAATGGTTGGTGATGATTTTCAAAATTTATATTGAAATTGAAATAAGTTAAAATCGATATTTTATATCAAAATCAAAATCATTTTAATAATTAAAATGATTTTAAATCAAATTAATTTAAAATTCAACAGCCAACAGGTCTATTTATATTGTCAATTTGTAGACAATGCCATATTTGGTTATAATTAGGACTCAGATTTTGTCGCAAAACAAATCCTTATAAAAGCATTTTAAGTAGCCAAAAAAAGCAATAACAAAGCATTTATTAATTCCTCGTAAACCGATGTAATCGGTGCATATTTCATATAAACTAAATCATTTATATATATATATGTGCAATAATACTCGACTGCTATAATCCATGTACCACAACGAGTTGTGATTAGTTTAGGTGGATTTGGAATATCCGGACATTTTTCATTTAAAATAGCGACCCGTTTTGGACATTTCAGAAATGTTTTTTTCATCTCGGCAATCAGATGATCAACTTTTGGGAAATGTGCACGCACTTTTTCACACACATTATGGAGGGTATGAGCTAAGCATGTCACATGCAAAGCTTTTGGATACAGTGTTTGAATACAGCGGCCAGCTTTTTTTGGGAGTAACCGAATTGGTTCCCATTTAGACGAATTGATTCCCGTTTGAAAAAGGTATTTTATAAGGTATAGTCGAATCGGTTCTCGTTAAAAAAGGCATTTTATTAGGTATAGCTGAATTGGTTCCCGTTTGTGTACAGGTAAAATAAGGACAATTTTAATTTTTTAATTAATTTACTTACAATATTAAAAATTAAAATCCAGGGGGCCAGTGCACAAAGAGCAAAAAACAAAATTTTAAAAACTATATTTATGACATAATAATAGTCACAATTATTATATCTATAAGATAGAGTATAAAAATATAGAAGACTATAGATTACTAGAGACTGGCAAATTACAAGCAAATAGGAAAGAATTAACAAATACTTGGAAAATTGTATGAAATTAATGAGAAAATTACGAGAATTGAATATTTAAAGAAAGTTAACTTCAAATTTGCAAATCAGTGGTTTTAAATTGTATTTATTATATTTTATTATTTGTATTTCGTATACCTAAGTGATGACTAGTTGACTTCCAAATCAACGATTTAAAATTGTATATATTTTATCATTTTTTTTAACACATATTAATGCACATTATTAATCAAACCTACTTTTAAGTTGACAGTCCTAAGCCTATAAAATTAAAAAGGAAAATGTGCGTAATTAAACGGGAACCAATATGGCTATACCTAATAATATACCTTTTTCAAACGGGAACCAATTTGGCTATACCTAATAAAATACCTTTTTCAAACGGGAACCAATTCGGCTATACCTAATAAATTAACTTTTTCAGGCGGGAACCAATTCGGTGCGTGGGTTTGGAGCTCGGGAACCAATTCGGTATCAGCCCTTTTTTCATATACGGCGCAGGGTCCGAAACAAATAATAAAATTTCCTCATGATTAACATTATTTGGCCATAAAATATGCATAGATTTGTCAAGTAATTGAAAAATAGTACTATGGTTCACTTTGTCTAAATATTCTGTGTGAATAAGATATGTTTTACCAACATCTTGTGGTTTATTATTATTAGTAATAATATTGATCATACATAATAATAAATAACTAGTATATATTTTGTTTTCTTAGAATAATTACGATAAGGAATCAGCATTCGATGAGCGATTATTGTTTTTATACATACGATATATTCCGTATAATATACTATATATAGACATTTTCTAGTGTATTATTATGGATGAGATATTAATTTATAACACCCCATTGGCTGTCACCCGGGAGTTATACTTTTAACCAATAATATACAATCAAATAACCTAAAATAGTTTTATTTTGTACTTTTGCAGTTTTGCGAGGAGTCGTCATATTTGTCCCACTTATAATTTAAACATTGTTCTCATATTTAATTAAATTATGTTTGAGTCTGTGAATAAAATACTTTATTTTACATTTTAATAATTTCACATAGATGTATTCCTAGTTTACTTCATTTTAGCTTCACTTTCATATTATGTTTTTTCATTTTTGAGACGCTTTAATAATAATTGTAGTTTGTACGAAATGTTTTATAACATAGGTAATAAAAAAATGGATTTAAATTATACTACCTACATCGCTACAGCTTACAACACTATTACACTGATGATGTACTAAAATTTGAGAAATTATTATGTCATGTATAACATTCTGTTGTGAACCCGAAATAGAAAAAATATAAATACCGATTTCTGAAACCGAAATTGAAAAAAAAAATTTCGATATTCGAAATTAAAAACAAAATGGCAAAAAATGAATATTAATATTTGAAATCAAAATCAGAATTAAAAAAAACTAATATTAATAATCAAAATTGAAATGAAAATCGAAATTTTTTATTTCGATTTCAAGCCCTGCAATTTACCAACTCCCGTTTGCAAATCTCCTCCATTCTTCACGGACATTCGCTATTTCTTTTAATGTCCTATAGTCTCTAACTCCTGCATATATTATATATCATTATATCTCTATAGTATATATATATTGTAGAACTTGCTGACAATGTTAATATAAAAATCAATAAATCAGTATTAAATTATACCAACCATTAGGTATAATTTAATTTTAAAAAATTGTACTTGTTAGCAATTTATGTAAGTAGTTATTAGTTGATAAATATTCTTAGAATTCAGCTGGAAATATTTGAATTGAATTGAAAAGATTTGTTGGAATTATACCTATCAAATTTCTAATATCTTAACACTTGTTTAATATTCGCAATGCATGTATTAAGGAATAGAGAGATTGAAACTTAAGATGTTTATCTCAAATTTTAGCTATTATTTATTAATTGAACTAAACATTGTACCCTATAATATAAAGAATGAAAACAGGAATAAATATATTTAGTTACTTTATGTAGCTTAGTTTTTTATTTCAGCCGTATAAGTATAAAGATTAACATGGTACCCTTTCATTATTTTATTATTTGTTGCATTTCAAAAGTTACAATTTATATGTTTATTTCCTTCAAGTGAAGTTAAGTATATATTTAAGTATATTAATGTTTTTCTTATAAATAATTTTTTTTGTTTAGAATATAAAATAAAATATATAAAATTTAAGTGATTTATTTTTTTTATTTTTCAACTTTGTCGCACGTATGGGCAAATTAGGGTGAATTGTAAATTTTTTACATCCTTTCAAATTAAAAAAAAAAATATTTTCATAATAAATGCTCAGATAATAACTATAACCTTTTGATCGGGTAAACAAAATTTGAAAGGAAAAAATTGATTTTAAAACAAATTACAGGCATACAGACATAAGCGTTCCCAATTTGATCCATGTTCCATTATAGTTTTAAGTAATATTCTGTATTTATTCAAATATCTGATAATGAAAAACTACTTGAATTATATTGTTTTTGTAATAATTATTACTTATTTATATTACTTAATAATAACAATAATTTAAAATATAAAATATCACTTTAAGATAATTTGGTTAGTATAGTGTTATACAAGTGAAGTTTCAGTTAAAAAAATAACGTGCTGAAAATGTGAAAATTCGGCTTTTTCAAAGGAAAAAATATTCTGGTTGAATTCAAAGATTTTTTTACAAACCTATTTACAATATTTTAAGACGATAAGTTCAACAATGATGACGTAAGACATAAATTAAAGTAAAGTATTAGAATGCCCGATAATGTGTTCCACTGTTGTTATAACTACAACATACAACACATGTGTTAGGAGAAATATAAGTAGTGAATCAAACGAGTAGGTAATTCGAATACTACTTCCAAACAACAACGCCACTTGTAGCTCTTCCGAAGACACTTATATTTTTTTACTCGTAGTATTTGTACTTTCAACTATAACTGATATTATATTACTGTAGACTTTGTTTGAAAAAAGTTTTGGATTAAAATGTGTTATATTCCTTTTTGTTTGATAACGTCTTCTTATTTTACTATTTTACTAACTTGTGAGTATCTAGATCAGTGTTTTTTAAACTTTTTTAAGATCACAGAACTCCAAACAATAATATTTTTTTATGCGGAACCCCTAAGAAAATTATCTTCAAAAAAGGAATGTACACAAAACATGGCGATAACAATAGCAATATATAAATATTCACAATATACTAAAATACTTAATACAGTAAAATATAATTAAATTATTTATTTAGCAGGTATCATAGCATTCAAGAAGTAATATTATACCAGATTTTAATAACAGGAAAAATATTGATAAAATTAGTGTATGACAAGTGCGAACGTAGGGAGTTCTATAGTTCAATAGTTCAAATCCCTCCCGAAATACCTGAAAAATGTTTATAAACAAATTAATTGACCTACAAATGTAATAGTTATTTAAAAGTTTTCCATAAGACTTACATAATAAAATGATTAAATATATTGTATAATGAATAATAAAGCATGTTATTTATTAATATTTTAGATTTTTTCAAAACTCCAACATTTTTTATTGCAGTAACTCTAATAAACTTTAATAATAAACTTTAATTTAATAAACATCTCCAATAAACGTTTATTTTCTGATAGTATTTTTTTGTTTTTGATCTTAATTTGTTTTAACTCAATCATTACGTAATCGAGTTAAGCACTAAAGTTATAAAATTGCGAGCTCATAAGAGACTTCAATATTAATTTTAATTACATTTTCTAAATTTGTTTCAAAGGTATTAGATTTTGGAAAATTGTGTGTACTAATTCAGCACTTTGAACAGGTGGTTTTTGTATTATTTTACATTTTTATATAATTTTGTTCAGAATACCCTATACCAGTGGTTTTCAACCTTTTTAACAATGCGGCACACTTCATCTCCAACAAAATTTTCGTAGCACACCGATCTATATATATTATACTATTCACAGTATAATCTATTAGAGGGTTATTTATTGTGAAATATATTAATACAATAATCGATCGATCGAGACGGCTGTGACGGACATACCTACTATAAATAATATTATATGTATCTACGATTGGTTCGATCAGTTTTCATTTCGAATATCAATAATAAGCTGGTAAATACATACTTATAAAACAATTTACAGATTCATCGTGGCACATTTAAAGGGCAATCACGGCACACCAATGAGCCGCGGCACACCGGTTGGGAACCACTGCCCTATACAATAATAATGAACTGTAACTTAACATATCGAAAATTTAAGTATATCTTCTTTATGTGTTAATTTTTCCTGTGATTGCACACACATAGAATGCATTTTGTACTGATAAATTATATAAAAATAAACCACAAAGCACTAATTAATGATAAACTAAACTGTACTTAGACTAGAAGGTTGCCTACGATAAGTAGAATTATGTGAACAGTTGTAAAATAATTATAGGAGTTCTAGGCACTGGAAAATATATAGGTACAAATGAAATATAAACAACAATAAGGTACACTAATAAATAAATAAAATATTATGTACCTAAGATTTAAGTAAACATTTTATTTATGTATTACATTTCATTGTCAAACTACTTTCAAGAATGGTTGAAGAAAGATTTTGGCGTAGATTTTTCAATAGTTAATTGGCTAATTGACTATTTTCTAAGTATTACTGCTAATCGTTATCATCAGCATTATTAACCCCAATTTTTGAATTGAAATTGGACTTCGTTTTTCTCCGGGTTTGGGTTTCGGGTAAAAACCTGGTTTACATATTTGTCGGATTTCGGTTTTTGGTTTTTACCCGGTTTCAATTTTTTTTTACTGGGCTTAAAAACCTGGTTGTATCCGTTTTGACTAACTGCCTTGATGTACCGAACTCCTTATGGTAAATGCTTATGAACTTATATTAAAATAAATCAAGTCATACTATACAGAGTAGGTGTATCATCCGGTATTTTTTTATTCTGATATTTTAGTTTTAATCAGTTTACATATTATTAAATATTTAAAAATTATGTAAACCTTTTTTTATAATTTGTTTGTTACAGCTGCATTTCAGCATGTTCGAGATAATATGGATGAAATCAACAACCAAGTAAAGGCTAAAGAGACTGATATAATATTTTTGAAAACATTAATGGATAACCCGACTGTAGAGAAAATAATTAAGGTAAGTAAAATGTATTGATTTTTTAAAACATATAAAAACACAATTCATAAAATATACATTAATATTATTGCCAATAGTACAATAAAAAATTTGTAATTTGTAATTTTAAATTTATTTAAAAGATTAAATATATTAAGAATAGTTTATATTTTTAGACATCAACCTGCAGAGTAAATTACTTGATTTTGTTTATTGTAACCAGAATTATATTATAATATTATATACAGAGCTGTACAATTATTTTTAAAAAGCTAATAATTATAGAATTTCGAATCATTATTATTTAATATTTATTGTATTACTTTATTCGAACCTACCACTGTAATTATTTCTGTTTGACATTCATTCGATAAACTGAAAATCATTATCAAAATGTATTTTTAGATATAAACCATATATAATTTTAGTAATCACGTTAAATTTAAAAATGTATAGAAAGTTATTATACATATTACAATTTTACTAATTTTTTTTTTTTTTTTTACGAGTTAACTCTATTATGACGTTATCTGTAGTAATTGTAACTGCACAATGAATAATCAATGCAGTATAAAAATTTAGTATACACATTAATATTGAGTTTCTGAAGTATGTTTTGAGTATTTTTAACGTATTTTTAGACAAAAAAATTGGTTATACTTTTATTAACACATTTACTCATTGTATTTGTTCGACGATGATGATAAAATTCGAACAACTGAACTGATATAATAATAACACGTAGGCACAGACAGTCATACAAATATTAGTTATACTATCTAGCTTTTAACAACGATAAATTGAAAATATTAGCAATTAGGCACCTACTTATGCGGTATTTCCAGGAAATGGGTATATTGCTGATTTTTTGGTGAAAATAAAAAAAGATGCATACTTTTCAATATCATTATCATCATAATAATACAATAGTTTACATGGTTATAATAATATATTTGTTTTCACGATAGTTGATGATATATTTCCGAATTTGTTCTATATACCGTATGAATAAAAATCATGGTATGTACATTTATAAATTTATAACACATAATGATTTACATTCAACTGCCGTAATATAATTACAATGTGTTCTGATAAACTTAATGAATAAAATATGAAGGCAGATGAACGTTATATATTTTAAAAAATATTTCCGACAGTTATCGAATACAATTTCTGTTAATTCAATCCCTTGAATTTACAGGTCCAGACACCTACAACACCCCCCTTGTTTATGCCACTGAATATATACCTTCTTATATACTATTTACCTACTTCAATAATAATGATACTGATAGCATGTTTTGTTTATGTTTGGATTAAATTTCAAATGCACAGAATATTTTAAATAACGTACATGATTTCATTGAATAAATAATCGTAATTACCAATTTTATCTTAATTGAACGTACAATAATTTTAATTATTAAATTCACATTTTCTAGAACTTTAAAAATTCATAATAAATCAATGATTAAACTATAACAAGTTATTTAAAACCATGCTTTTTTTTAAAATTCTATTTACAAAATAGCTATTTTGCATTTTTTTTTCAAACTGTAAAATAAAAATAAAAATTTTCAAATTTTGAGTTGTAAATAACAAAAAATCTTTTTATACAATTTTTTTGTGGCGCAGGACCTAAGTATTTACGTAAAAAACTAAGATATTATTATTAGATATCATTTTAATTTGATTACAGATATAAAGATATAATTTGACAGAGGTAAAATATTAATATTTGTACCTATCCTATTTTATGTTTTTACTTGCATTTTTAGCTATACTAGTGGGATGGAGCTATTTATTATAAATCTTTAAATTCATACAAATTTGAAATTACTGTGTAAGTTTGATTCGTATGAACAATTTGTATAATATGCACGTGAGATTACAGTTTAAGGGTCTTCGTCACTAGATTTTTTAAGCTAATATTTCATTTTTTATTTTATATATAAGCGTGATTATTTTATAAACCAACTATAATGCAATGAACATTACGATTTCAATAATAATATAATAATACATTACACATCTCATTTATCTGTATAATTTTTAGAAACCCACTACCTGTGTATAAATACATTGTTATTTTTTATGGTAATTTTAAATGACCTTTGTAGATTGGCTTTATTGGATACCTATTGAGTGAAAATTGGCTCATTTCATTAATAATCACCTAAATTCACTGAAACAAAGACATATGTAGTATAAATAGTTGCAAAATAATTATTTTGTCGTTAAATATAATAATCGATCTGCATGGATAATAATGAAGCTTGATTTTAAAACAGTTAATCGTTGTTATCCAAGTTCCATTCTCATATATAATATAGTTGTAAATACTTGGTCGTATTAAATCAGCCTATCTAAACTTATTTACACGCGCTCGTGTCGTGAACGAACTGAGTTTACTGTGTATATAAGTCTACATCAGTATCTACTCGTACTTTCGAAACTATTGAAATATTATACACAGAGAAACCATATACGTAAATGTCAAATACTAAAACAAGTAATCAAGAGCACTATATAACACGTAACCTCATGAACTTATTTTGTAAACGCTTGGCAGGTTACCCGCATAATTTATGTTTTATCAAGGTTTGGAGTTTTATACCAATCCTCTCGCGCAAACAAGTATTTGAATAAATATTTGACTTATTTTGATCTTAGAGCCGATTTTAGTAAATTAACGATATTTAATGATAATTACTCAAAGACACTAAAATTAACTACGTACAATACAATAATAGATTCTTAATTGCAGTTGATAGTAACATCGTTATAGTGTGTTTGTAGGTATCATAGTATTGTAATTCTAATGTGAATTTAATAATACCAAGTTCAATAGAGAGTCCAGTTTTTTCTTTTATTATATTATTTTTATGTGTTACATACTCACCATATACGTATACAAAGTAAATAAACTTCGTCTTCTGGTGAAAGTTTTTCTTAGGAATAATTTATATGTTATTGTTTATACTTGTACTTAATAATTTTTAGAAATTTCACACGGTTATTATTCATGTTGACTATGCATAAATATTCAAAATAATGTATTTGATAATAAAAACTAATATAACTACTTTGAAAAGTTCGCATTCTTATCTTCTAGTCAACAAATAAAATACGTGTACTATCTGCATTGACATATTTTCTTTATTTGACTTGTGTGTGTGTGTTAATTTAACTTGATCATAATTGTCTTAACTAAAACTACATATAAGCCTTCATTATTGGCACGAGTCTGTTGAAAAACCACTGAAATTTATGAACATCAATATTACGCTTTATTTTTTGATAATAATATTCAAATACGAAATTATACATGATTATTTATGAACTTTTTAGTACTATTCCTTATAAAATTTATAATTATTTAACGTGGTATTTTATAATTTTGCTTCAGGTTTCAAAATTTCTAAGGTCGATCTCGTTTTTTAGAAATACTGGTTTACAGTTATAATCACTGCATACATAAACTTAATAAATATACACTATTTTGTCTTAAGGTGATAAAATATTGACCTACTCAACAAGAAATATCAGTTTTTTAGATTTAAAATATATTCGTATGTTTTCACATTTCTAATAAAATGCTGTAGAAATTTAACTGTGATTTTTTAGTGTCTGTATCAAATGATTTAATTGAATTAATTAAATTAAATAAATGATTAAATTCAGATAATTTATCAGTAAAGAAAATATAATATAGACTGTTTAGTCCTTTTTGTAATATTGAAACTGTAATGAACAAATTGGTTTATTTAAACTATCAACGATTAACAAATCAAAAACCGTCAAGTTGAATCGTTTTTATTGATAAATAAAAAACCAGCTCAACTGCTGTTTATATGAAATGATGAGACACTACGTTATTATATACAACAATATATAGTGTTTTATATTTATGGAAAAAAAAAACGAGCTCGTATCAATTCTGCAGTTACAATCCTTTGAGTTTCTCACGAACACCTCAATAATGTATTGAACCTTACAATATTCATATTGTGAAGAATACCTAACCAAATACGGTTAAATTTTTACTCTTCGTATAGATCTCAGTAGACTGTATCGACGAGCGAACCACGGGTACTTAAACTGTACAATAGTACACGATTTCCAGAATACATCATGTATGAGTGTATGACACACCCACAAAAATATTTACGGGCATGCGTGTGATATTTTACAAGATTGACAATTGTCGGTATCGAACATAATAATCCTTATAGTAATTGTTATCGGAGCGCGCATGGACGCAAACAATGCACTCGTGAAGAAAAAAGAAAAGAATAAGGACATAGGATAAAAAAATTCAAAAACACTTTTTTTTCTTTTCATTGAATATACCGTCGCGGTGGCGTGTATACCCACGGGCTGCATGCGCCGTCGATACGAACAAGAGACAACCTCTGAGATTATAGTGATGGGTTGTACCTATAGTCATATGTGTTTGAACAAAACAATAATATTAATAACATTATTACTACCACGCAACTGTGTACGTATACGCGTTGTTAAAAATACAGGACGGGTAACTTGAGAATTGGTGGATTTTTTTTCTTCGCCATAGTTGTGATGTAGACGCGTCTTTTTTCTAATCAGTTAAGCAACAAAAACCACCTGTGTACGCAGGTTGCCGCCACCATATTATTATGTTTACGTACAGATCGTGTATACGTGTATGGGTTAGTTATTTGTAAACGTTTAGGTAGGGGAACCGAGCGGTTGTTCTCTACCCCACCTCTCAACGCACTAGTCGGTCCGCTATTCTTTTCTCGTTTTTATTTTTATTCATATTTTATTTTTTATTATCTTGATCCAGTCAGTGTATTACTAGAACTCGCCGTCTACCGTACGCTCGTTCCCGCCACTTGCAGTGTCCAGTGTTGTTATTCAGTGGTTGTATTATAGTGATGGTAATTTAGTACGCCAACAACGGCGGTCCGTTCAACTGTTGCCAATATATTATAACATTCAGTAAGTACACAGAACTATAGAAAGAACAACACAAATAATTGCGTTTACGGTATGGCGTTAAACGTTTAATTTAGCACATAATATTACGTACAATAAGCGTACACGTCGAACATTTATTATAATTGGTATACATTATCGTCGAGTATCCGTTTATGGCGGCAATGGATTACGTGGTCGTTGGTACCTTGTGTAGGTACTTCATCTGTAAACTGCACGCGGTTCATTGCAGTACGTAACGATACCGTTCCGGAAGTGGTGACGCGGGGGGGGGGGGGGGGGAGAAACGGGGTGGCTGTCGGTTAGCGTGCACGCCCGTCAACGGAACGCGGCTCGGCGTCAGTTATTATCGCCGATCGTCCCGTTGTGTGTCGCTCGTCGCAACAGTACAACGAGACAATACCGCATCGTCGACGACGTCTTTCGTTCTCGTCCGCCCATGAATTCGGCCTCGTTTTCGTCTACGGTAACCACGAGTTTCCGTTTCATTGGTTTCGTTAACCTCGCGACGATATTCAATATTTTTGGTTTACCAGACGGTTTCTCGGTTACGTGCATTTACGGGTAGTACGATTGCGTCGTAAACGTGAGGACGAAATTGAAGCGGAGAAGAGATCGTTCTGATTCACTGCAGGTATGTGTGATGAATGTAATGCGTTTTGTCCTGCGCGGGTCGTAATGTGGAAACAACGAAAATCATCAAACCGGTCCTGAGAATAGTTCTACGTGCTCAAACTGTTTCCCATTGACCCATACGGTGTATACACATGTATGTGTGGTATGCGGTAATCTCTCCGGAATCGAGTACAATGTAAAAATATTTGGTCAATACTCTCGCATCGGGTACGCAGGCCACAGGTGCACCGAATCGTATATACCTCGCATAGTCACTTCTACCCCGCAGTCATCTGTGTTGTTACGATTAATATTTTCTTGTTTAAGCTTTACGTGCGAATGAAGGGAAGTCGATGGTCTACAATGTAGACTCTACATAATATTATAATTTAATAAAATACATATATTTATATATAATATAATACATAACATAAATACAAAATATTATCAGTGTTATTACGTTCGTTTTGTTTACGTTGCCGTTGCTACGAACGTTTTACCTCCCCCTTAACTCTGCGTACTACAGAAAAATAATTATATACCTGCACTAGCCAAGACATAATAACATAACAATATAAAGAACAAAAAAAAAAAGTAATAATAATAACAAAAAAACGACTTGCGTCTTCGCGTGTTTCGTTCACCAACATAGGATTGGCTTTCTAGACGATAAGAACAGGTGCCCGCGGTGCTATTTTCACAACCGTTCGCGCACGCTCATAGGGTACGTTTTTATCGGTACGTGTTTGTCGTGCTTCATTTCGCAATTATTATATTTGATTGTTCTAAATTCTGGTGTCACCAATGCCATTTCGTCGTCGTGTGCCACGTCCTTGATTTGTCATCCTCGTTCATTTTGTCGAAACGCGAAACAAATTCGCGCTACATACGTTTTTGTTATTTGAAACTAATCGTATGTACAGTAATAATACGCGTTAGTATGTCATTTCATTGTGATGACGTATGTGCTCATCGATATTACGTGCGCGTGCTGTAGTGGACACAAAACAACAAATTTTTTCCCGTACTCCATCGCATGTAACTTGTCCTAAAACAATCAATGTTTTAGGAATATTTTCACTTTGGCCTCTTCTCTCCTGTTGACATCGACGCACGAAATCAATATACCATTGTTTAGTTTTGTCGTTTTTCTCATATATTACGGGTGTACCAGTGTCATGTCTACTATACATGCTATGGCACTGCTGCTGACTGTATCTTATTATTATACTCGTAACTGTGACTCGGCTGTCAATTAATTTTTATTGCGAGGCTCACTTATTGTTATTCGTCGTATGAAAAATAATAATAATCATTATCATTTACAAATGCATCCGTCTGAAGTGAGAATTATGTACATATAATTGTCGCAAATATTACGGACGAACAGAGGTTAAATTGCCTCTATTTGTGTAATACGCGTGTATAAAAAACAAATTATAAACGTATATAGCACATCTGTATAGTAAAAATAATAATAATTGTTTCATTGCGATAGACTTTCACGAAGAATTCACACGTCCCGTGTTTTCAGCAGTAGCTCCATAAAAAATAATTTAGTTTACATACTCGTAATATTATCTTATATATCAAGGATGACCAAAAGGTCGATCGTGACATAAGCGAATCCTTTTCATTATTTTTATCATTTTTTCAGAAAACAATTAAAATATTTATTTTTTTTTTTGTAAATTTTATAGTTTTGTTTAAACCATGAATATAAAAATTAATAATAGCAATTTATATTAATAATATGTATTAACAAATAGTTATGAAAAAATAAATAAGACAATGACATCGAATATAGTATATAGGTATTGAGGTATATTATACGTAATCTAATGAATACTTCGTATTAAATAACGGTATTTATCGCGTTCCTATACACTGGTAAAAAATATATCGATCGTGACAACCTATAAAAACTCAGAAGTCGATCACAAATCTATAAAAGTTGGCCATCCCTGCTTTACGTGACATGTAACTCTTTTATAATAAGTTTCATCAGTGGCGGTTTTGATAAAATATCAAGGAGACTATTTTCAATTTGTTGCTTCCCACCATAATTACATATATCAAATAAATCAATTTGTTTATGATTGTATTATAAATGACATAACCTTCTTTTCATAATTTATATAGTTTAATTTTATTGTAATATACAATTTAGTAAAAAGTCTATAAATATGACCATAATATAAAAAAAACCCGATCAAACCTAACTAGCTTAACTTTATTAATTCTAATTGTGAGTCGGTATTTTTTGATAACGTATATTCGTTTTTATTATCAATTCAATGTTTCATGCTGATGCAAAAAATAAATAAATAAAAATAATAAAAAAAACAAAGTTGAACATATATCGTGAAAATAATACGACGTACATAACATAACAGTTGACATAAAAAAACCCAAGGGGTGGACATATCCATTGTATTTAACCTACATTATTTTTACTTATGATTTTTTTGGGTTTGATGGTAATCGATTTTGTGATGTGGACTTCTTAGTGAATAGGTATACAACAATAACGTATTATTTGATATTTCTTTGAAATGTTATGAGCACATTAAGCACGTATTATATTGTCATGGAAACGCGAACAATGTCACTTAATGTATAATTGATAAGTTTAGTCTTCGTTTCGAATGCTTACCTATTGTGTATTTTGTGTATTATTTGACATTGCCAAATCGCCGTTAAAAATTATAATCCAGCTCTAATTATAGCTAATTAATTCAATTATGTGGAATATTAAAGTCGTCAATCGTTTGGTTGTGCAGGTTCAAAACTGTTTGGAGGAGTGTGAAACTTGTGTTCCTGTAGCTAACAACTCCAAGCTTACATTAATTGAATTGTGTCATCTTTGTAAATTGTCGAAACACCCAGTAGCCAAAGAATTATTGTCGATACTCACCAAGTTGCATTTTAAGGTCAGTAACAAATATGATCATTTTTTTGTTTCACATTTTTACGTAAGCGTATTTTCTTTTAACAATAAAATTTTTGTTATGCTTAGGCTCTTTTAGAGATTCACGATAAAATAGCCTTGAAGAGACTAAAAAAAACATTAGACGTGTCTGATTTACCTCCCACGCCCCCGACGCCACCTCAACAACAGCAGAACGGAACTAAAATGTCTTCTCAAACGTACAAAATAATTGGTTTACGAAAGAAACCAGACGAACCTTTGGTAAGTGTGTAACACTATGAATCACGGAATTGAACTTCATGGGAATATATTTTCACTATTTTATGTTACGTAAAAATGTTAACATTTAAACGAACTTTCGAGACAGCATTATAAAAAATTGAAAATATTACTATTATTATTATTATTTCATTAAGATATGATGTTAATCAGGGTTTGAGATATTTTACACTTTAAGTAAAACGTATCACTATTTAATTTAAATAAGACATGTATAAGATATTAATATTTAGCTTCGAAATTAAATCAAATATTATAAATACAATTAAATGTCATATACAAAATCATGTTCCAATTTATTCAAGGCTAGTTAATAAAACACTTACATTAAGCTCAATGTTCAAAGCTTGGTGTACTAGGTATACGTACATATACGTTAAATACGAGAAAATATAAAATTATGCGGCTTCCAGTTAGCCTTGAATTGTTGAGAAAAAAACTAGTATTTTGAAAAAATTTAAATTTAATAATGATCTTAATTTGTAGGGTTTAACGGTTGAACAAGATGAAAATGGAAATCTTATTGTAGCAAGAATATTATCAGGTGGTACAATTGAAAAACAGGGGTTATTGAAAAAAGGTGATGTTATTTTAGAAGTTAATGGTGAACGGGTCGAAAGTCCTGAAGATTTATTGAACGAAGTTAGCCGTAGTAAAGATACACTGCAGTTCCGAATCGCTCCAGGATTTTACAATAAAAACACTATTAAAACTCAACAAGTTAGTTTCGTAATTTTTAATGCTTCTTACTTTTACTTATTGTATTTTTGTTATTATTGATAATAATATTTTTTAATAATTTTTAGTGTTATATGCGAGCATTATTTGATTACGATCCAACAGAAGACAATTTAATTCCTTGTAAGGAAATCGGTGTGTCATTTAAACATGGAGATATCCTTCAGGTTTGTTTATTCATACAGAATTTTTTTTTTTTTTTAGTTTCTAAATTATTATTAATATTTTACATATAACTTTATATTTAATAATCTTAGTATATTATTTTATGTTTAACATTCTTATGTAGGTTCTCGATCAAAAAGACCCTAATTGGTGGCAAGCAAAGAAAGTTGGTGATAATGAACTTCCAGGACTGATACCGTCTCAAGAATTGGAGGAAAGAAGAAAAGCTTTTGTGGCTCCAGAAGCAGATTATGTACATAAAACCAGCATTTGTGGAACTCGGGTAATTTAATTATGTTAGGATAAAACATTTTTTTTCTTTAATACATTTTGACTTAATGTTTTCTAAATATCCTTTTGGTATCAATATAATAAATAATATAATAATTAGAAGAGATATTTTTTTTATATAAATTGTTTATTTGTCATCTGTTTTTTTTTTTTTAATATTAATACAAATTCTATTTTAGATTTCTAAAAAAAAATGCAAGAAAATGTATCAGTCAAAATGGAATGGTGAATTTGATAAGGCTGAACTATTGTTGTATGAAGAAGTTACAAAAATGCCTCCTTTTAAGAGACGTACACTAGCAATAATTGGTACAACTGGTGTAGGTAGACGGACATTAAAATGCCGTCTAATAAACAGTGATCCAGAAAAATTCGCTGGAGTTATACCATGTAAATACAGTTTTGTAACAGATTCGTTTTTATTATATTGTTGTTATATGATGAATTGAGAAAATTATAAATTCAGTGTAACAATATTGATGTGCATTTGTTTCAAACACTATTTCAGATACTACTCGACCACAAAGAGAATTGGAAGAAAATGGTCAGAACTATTGGTTTGTCGAACGTGATCAAATGGAACATGATATCCGAGAACATAAGTTCTTGGAATATGGCGAAAACGGTGGAAATTTATATGGCACAAATTTGGATTCAATTCGCGATGTCATTAACCAAGGAAAAATGTGTGTTTTAGACTGCAGTCCAGTGGTATGTAATACGTATATTCATTTAATTTTAATTATTTGCAATTCATCAAAATCCTAGTGATTTTCTATAATAATATTGATTATTATAGTAAGATTTAAATGTATTTTTTAGGCTTTGAAAATTCTTCACAATTCTTCAGAGTTTATGCCCTATGTCATTTTCATAGCAGCACCTGGTGTTGAAGTAATGAAAAGTTTGTACGATTATTCGAGGAATTTAGGATACTCCAACCGGACATTAACGGTGAGTACAAAGTGTTAGTGTTTACAAAGTTATTTACATTTCCCGCATTTGCTCCAATTGTGAACAATTAACTGTAAACTAAAACCTACTGTTTAACAGTGAAAATATTTTACTGATGTAGTGTATTGTTTTTATTGTATACATTTAGTTTGATCGTCAAAGTTCCATTAGATATAGTTCTAGGAGAGCCCGTACTTTGGAATCCCTTGCATCGATATACGAGGTAAATATTATTTAAAATTATTTATGACATTCTATTGTAATATAATTTTAAATAATTATATAACATGGCATATAAATAATCATAATTAAATTAATTAATTTAATATGTAAAAATAACTGACACACTGAGTACTTAAATTATTTTAAAATTAAGTATTTATTTTAAAGTGTAGTTTCTACAGTCTTATAACTTATATTGCCAATTAATAATGGTATACGTTCTTTAATTATTATATTTATTTTTATTTTTATTAGGCATATATATAAATAAATTGTACCCGTCAAACTTTTTAACTTTTTTACACCAGTCTATAATTATAAATCGAACATATTAGCACTATATGTATACACTTTTTTTTTATCCATGCCCTGTAGGATATTAGTAAATAGTCCTTTTATAAGTCATCATCATGAGCTACCTTAATTATTTTAATGATAGTTATAAGATTTTATTCTTAATTAGTGCACTAATATAATTTTTAAGTATTTTGATACCTTAGGCCAAATTAATAAAAGCTATACGTTGCATAATCATATAGGTATTGATTTTTAAAATTCCTTATATCTCCTTTAAAATTCTTATTGCAAATTATAAAAGACAGTAACATTTGATAAGCTATCTGTAAATAGCCGTAAATAGTCAATAGGATGCCGATAATCTAAAAATGTAACAATAAAAAACTACTAAAATGTAAATAAAGAAACAATTTAATATTAGTTAAGTAATAAAATAAATCTGAATAGAGCAATAAATTACACTTTGTATGCTTGATTTTTATTTTTTGGAATGAGCCCTACAAAGTTAATTAGTGAATTAATAAAATCTCGATAGTTAAAAAAAAATTATAACGATAACGTATAAAAATCAAAACGTAACAACAAAATAAAATAAATGCTCTATAACATAAAATTGTATCATACAGCGTTCTACTAACATGAAAACGTCGAAAAAAAGGCGTAATGCAAAATTAAACCATCAAAACAATGCAGAATAGAAATTGTATGTTAAAAATCTATGAACAACGAAAACAATATATATTTAGGTTAATATAGTTAATATATTACGTTGAGCTAAGCATTACAAATCATGATTCTATTTAAATATTGATTTGAATTCATATTATTTATGATCATCATTAATGTAGATATCATTAGATAATGTATTATTGATAGTATAACATTTAGTATTGTATTAACAACGTGTGGAGCAGTGATGCCTTTTTTTCTCGGTGAGTCACTTTGGTAAACTAGTATCTTCGAGTGGGCCATCAAATATAAAAGTACGAATAATATCAATACAGTGAAAAATGTCTAAAACGGAATCGCATGGGACCAACAAAAAATTCCGCTTTAAGCAGTTTTTCGCTTTATTCAATAAAACGGAAAAATTCCGGATTATTCAATTATTCTTTTATACTCATATCGATCAGTTGATATTTTTCATAGACACTTATATTTTGGTATTTTAATATTTAATACGATGAATGGGAGATAAAATTAAAAGTGTACGTACGACTACTGGTGTATGACTGTTTCACAGTTACAAAGAAGAAAGTTCGTATTGTTTACGCGATATATGCATTGTATGTACATATATGGTATTGTACGAATATGTATAGAACAATTTTATCTTCTTTATCTATCACTATTTAACAATGTACATACAACGATGTGCATATCTATATTTTAGGTTTATAGTACACATGTACGTGTCATTTTTCCGGTTTATGCAAGGTTTTTACTTACAAAATTGTTCCGTTTTATTGAGGTTCAGCGTCTATATAAAAACTATAGGAACGTGCCGAGACCATAGAAAAATTCCGTATTGGATGGTTTTCCGTTTTATTCAGGGTCCGCTTTAGACAGTTTTCACTGTAATAATTAAATAATTGAGATGAATTTAGGGAACAGTTGACCCACAGTTAATATTTGTTGACAGATTTGGTCCCTTGAAGACTTTTTATATCTTTCAAGTGTGCCGAATATCGATTGAATTTTATACTAAACTGGGCTTATGCCCTAGTTTCCATCCTCCCAATAATGCCATTGGTTTAGTTGTACAGTACTGTAAAACAATTATATGTCGGACCTCATGTAAGACGGAATCTTTCATAAAATTAATTTTAATTTTTTCAATGATAATTATAAATAAACTTAAAATCATAATTATATGATAATAAAATTTGTAACGAGTCATTTTCGCCGGCCACATGTGATAAAATCGCATAATGAAAATTATAAAAATGAAAATTGACTTTAAGAATATTAATATATTTAATAGGTACATAAGAGTCGTAAGAATAGAAATACAATTAATGTTTTAGTTAATATACTGTGGTTTATTTTTATTTACATTAGTATTACATTTTAATTGTTTATATATTTTAGGAGGACGACGTAAAGAAGTCATTAGAAGAAAGTGCTTGTTTGAAACGGATGTACGAAAAGTACATTGACCTCGTCATCGTCAACGAAGATTTTGATATGACATTCCGAAAAGTGGTCGAAGCCTTGGAAATCATATCTAATGAACATCAATGGGTGCCTGTAAATTGGGTATATTAAGATACGTCACATTTAAACAAAACAACGGTATATATTATACTTTCCTTTTTATACATATATATTTATCGTTTATTTCAACACAATCAATTGTTAAATTCATAATTTCAATTTCATATGGCAATGATTATAACAATTAATTTATGTTTAATTATTTTAGTATAATCGTTTGACGTAAATTTACCGATTGGTCCAATCAGTAGGTAATTATATTAGGTTCCTGCGATTAATCGTAACGTTTAAATATGTTTATAATCGTTAAAATGTATGCCGTCCTTTTTCTTTGTATTTAATTATTATTGATTTGATTTAATTTATATTTATAATAAAGTATTGACGATACTAATTACTTTAGTCTTCACTTTAAACTAATATGAGTCAATTGGATTAAAAGAATACATACGACTGCCGAATAATCGTGTTATTTTTATAATTAGAAAACGTTAACGTTATTACATAGTGTAAACATTATTTTTTTTGTAAAATTTTACGCTAATACTAGGTTATATAACTATTTTGTACACTTATAATATATTTGAAACTTGTATGTGAGTACACTATGTTTTTATGGTACCCTTAGGTTTATTCTGACATGTGTAAAATATAAACGAAAAATCTTTCAGAATTGTTTTTAATATATAACCGATATAGTAACATTATTTGGACTAAAATTTATCTTTGTATACTTTTATTATATATTTTAAAATTTATATTTTCTCTTGTGCATATGAAAAACTTTTTTTACGATCAAATTTATTTTAATTTTTTTTTTTTTCCGGACAAATTAAAATATCAATTTTTGACTTCATTTTGATCGTTATAATGCTTTAAACACAATGTATGAATTAGAAATTGACGGGTTTACTACATTGAGGACTTAGAAATTCTAGGATATTCTAAATTTCAGAAATTAGTTTTAAAAATTAATACCGATGTGAGTGTATTGGTTTATTCGAAATTATTCACTGTTTAATGAATTAATTTATTTAAAGTACATTATTTTTAATGCACCACAACTATAATCTATATATGATCTGTATGATATCTATCTATGAATCTGTATGATAATTTCTTATACATTTATGTTGCACTATTGCACATAATAATTAAAAATTATTTCTTTTTAAGATAAAATATTTATTTGAACTGAATGTTGTGTTCATTATTCATTAAACCGAGTACGGTGATATAATTATTATAGGTGTATTTTAATCAAACATTTTATTTTAATTTGATAAACTAACTTAATTTAATTTAATATTTTTTCTTAAGTTTTTTTAATATTAATGAATGCACATATTATACAATGCTAACAATGCATATAAAAATGTGCCATTTTATATTCGAACAGTTCGACATTAATTTTGCGTTAATTACAATTATATTAGACATATCATACATATTTTTCGAATTACATAAAATTTTATATACAAGCAATGACTTACACTAAATAATATATGTAGTGCACAGGCATATATCATTTGAATATCAAATCAATTGTGCAATCCATACAAAATATATATAATAATAAAATATAAAATATATAATAGATTTATATATAGTTAAAAAAATATTGTTGTTATATAACATATTGTACCTTTATAAGTATTATGATATAGGTAAGCAATAACCACGATATTTGGACGTAATTATCTATTCATTTTAATAATTATATATACTAAATATATATATAATATTTAGTTATTGTTTAAATTTAGAAAAGTAAATAGTATGTATTTGTATTTTGTAGAACAAATTGAATATGAATTAGATATTTTCAACACGTCTAATATAATAAGTGTAATCTCATGTTTATTTATTATATTTTTAATAAAACATTATTTGTGTTGTTAAATTTGTTGATTTATTATGTATGAGTATCTAGAAGCACCTACAATTAAAAAATATTGGAAAGAAGAAAGAGTATGCAAGAATTTTTTTTAAGCATTACAAAATAAAACATTGATAAAATTGAATATTTTAAAAAATTTCTATTAAACAACATTAATTATTTAGTTCAAAATAGTTCATACCTTCGAATCAATTAAGTTAAATATGTGCTATTTATAAGCACATGGAATTTTCGATTTACCTAAATTTTATATACATTTTTTTTCAATATTTGACTGAAGTTTTTTTATTAGTATTTGAGTAATAATTATAATATTTTATGATGATTTAGAAAAAAATAGCTCAAAAATCGTCGAACATTTTAAGATTTTGTAAAGTTACCTAACAGTGATATTTTAGAAGAAAAAAAACAAAAATAATTCATAGTTTCAAAAATACAAAATATATTAAAATTAAGTTGGTGAGCCCAAGCGATTTATGCTCGTGATGCTAAAAATCAGTTAAATAAATTTCTTGAAAATAGATAAAGAAAAAATGACCGATCCCAGATTTGACACCAATGAATTTTTTTTTTTAATGGAGTTACCAAAAAATATTGAGCACATTCAAGTTTTTAAGAATATTTTAAACCAAAATAATGCACATAAGTTGTTTTAATAGAAAGAAGTAATGCAACGAAACTGATAATAAGTCATTGTTCATATACTCTTATAGTGTTCATACTCGGTAATTATATAGGTAACAATCTATAACCAATGTTAATAATATTTCTAACTATAACTATATTCGATTTTTTCTACTTTGCTTATAAATCAAACGTTCTATTTTTAAGTATTCGGAGTATTCCTGAGTATTTCCTGTATATTAAAATTATTTTGTTATAAATAAAAATGATAATTGTAAACGATATTACAGCTTGTATTGTAATTTTTTTTTGTGATAAAATTTAAAAAAATTAACTATTTAAAAAATAAAATAAAAATAAATTAAAAAAATAAATAAATAAAAGCTTATTTATTTAGTATTGCTCTATTTGTAAAGTATGACCGGTTTCGAATTAAAAATTCATCACCAGGTATTTAAAAGTCAATAAAATCGCGACTCAATATAGTTATACATTCATTTACAAGTATTAACCATTTAATAATTTTTAATTTTGATTAAATTTTTTATAATTGTATGATAAACTAAGGTCGATATAATACAGTAGTAGTAGGTTGATATAGTACATATTATAGAGGGTAACACATACCTATATAAATTATATAATGTTTTCCACGAGAACTTTTAGTACAACTGTACAAGATGTCTACTTCTGAACTAGGTACTCGATGTTACAAATTGCTGTAATAATATTGCAGATCGGTAGTTGGTATGTATAATATGGATATGCGCACAGCAAACGAACACAGACGAAAAATAAAATATAAAATTTAAAAATAACCTGTAAGTGATAACTCAAAATATTCTGTGTTGTGTCTCACCGGGAATTTTCCCGATCTCCCGGTGAGCTAAACCGACCCACAACATTATTGTCATTATCATTAACTAATAGTTAATAGTTGATTTAATAGGTCTATGGTTATTACCGTTACCTCTTATGTAATTTATTTCATTTTTGTTCATTGTTCAACGGTTGCGATATCGAGCCGTATTCGTTTTTGTCTTTTTCGCTTTGTTGTCTCATCGTTGTATTGTGTACGACTACCATCTTCGCGTTTCCGTTTTACAGCCATTTTTCCAGCATATCACGTTTTCTCGTATTGTGTTGAGTTCCTAAAAGCGGCCGTTTGGTAATTATCATTCGAACTATCTCTTGTTGTCCGTATTTATATTATATGTCATTTAAGATCAATTACCAGTGGCAATAAATACGATAAATAACGTGGTAATTAATTCAGTTTGGTAATTATCGTTCGGACACTCTCTTGTTGCCCGTATTTACATTATATATAATTTTAGATCAGTTACCAATGGCAATAAATACGATAAATAATGTGATATTGTCATTGTCTAATTGTGTTGCAAATGGGACTTGTCTTTTCGCCGTGAGCAGTTGGCGACGTTCATCGCACGTGCGCCAGTTCATTCATATCATATTGTACCTTTTTATTTGTATTTAATTTACTTACTCACGGAACCCGGTACGGTGGCGTGAATGTTAAACCAATCGGGCATTACAACTGCTATGTGAGTATGACCTATGAGCTATTTTCCTCCAATTATTATAAATGCACTTATTCATTATTCATTTCCCTTCACTTATCGGTCAGCATAATGTATAGGTATACTTCTCTACTATCCATTTTCAAATAAAATACTTACTATTTTTGAACTAATAATATATAAACACACATGAGTACCTACTTGTATATAATTTTCATAAAAATAAAAACATTATTTTAATAATTATTAATAAAAAAATTGATAAATTTAATTATTTCAATAAAGTAAGTTAACATTTTATATATTATTGTTTTATAATTAAAAAATGACAACAAATTATACGATATTACGATAGTCGATAACATTAGAGATATAGTAATGAGCGCTGTAGTAAAATAATGATAATTTTTATCTTATATTTATAATTTATAAGTATTTTATTGGTTCCAACGTATAAAATGGTTTATAATATACGGGTACTGGAGCAGGTTATAGAAAGTTATGTTTTAGAATGCAAAATTGTTTAAACATTTTTTTCTTATTTATTTCATATATAATTTTATAGACAAAATGAGTATAAATTAAGGTTAAAATTATTTGTATACAAATAAAAAAAATTGAATAGTTAATAATTAATAATTTATTATAAAAATAATTTTTACTTCGATAATCATCTTATAAATTAAATACGTGTTCTAATATTTTACATTTTATATTGTTTTTTAGAACATGGTTTTTCTAAAAGTTATTTTTTATAGAACATGGATTTTCGAAGATTTGGTTTTTTAAAACTCAATCTTCTAAAACATGAAATTCTAAAGCATGCACCCAAATCATAATAACTATTATGCTGTGTATTGTAACGCCATGCAACACTATTTTATATAACTTTTTTTGGTTTTTACCAGGGTTTGGAAGGAACAGATTCCTGGAACGAATTAATTTTTAAAGAACAGCACATAGAACGAATCTATTTTTATAAAAAAATAATAAGGACATGAACGGGTTCTTTTTTTCAAGGAAAAAGGAACGACATTTTTCGTTCCTTTTGAATTCCAATTTACACAGATAC